GAGGTTAACAAAATGTATATACGACAAGTTGCATGCGAGTTTAACTTTTGCACAATTAATATTTATATCTACACGCATATTTGTAAGAAAATCGAAGTATGGCTTTCATGTGTTTTTTATAGTGTATGGTTAATTTTAAAAAAAAAATAAGTATTTTTATGCATGTAGGTATGAGTTAGAAATAAGTGAATTTTAATATTTAGATGTTGATAAGTTTTTATGATATTTTTCGCAAATTTTTTTTTATACGATGCAGTTATTGGCGTTTAACAATAATCACAAAAACCGTTTTTATCGTTTTGTATTTAATCAAAAAAAATTATTTTTCAACGTTATATGATATATGGTTTCTCAATAAAAATATAATAAACAAGGATGATAAAATTTGTGAAATCATATTTTATAAAATTCTCTGGTAGCTCTCCGCTCATCTCTTCGTCAAATATTTTATAATCCGCAATCGCTTGCTTCCACAAATTCTCTGTAATCGAATTGTTTAAGCCAATAGGATCTAAATTTATATGTGTATGATTTAAGATGTAAAATAATATATTTAATATTTGATTGTTATATTAAAAATTAAGAGTTGATATGTTCCTAACTTTAATATATTTTTAATATATAATATAATGGATCATAATATATACAAAACTTGATTCATGAAATAATATTTTAATATGTTGGAAAATATATGCATGAAATAATTAATATGTGTAAGATATTATTTTTAAATATTTCAAATAAAAACATAAAATCAATCCAAATTATTCTTATTTATTTTTTTCTTCTTTGACTCATACTTTTTTTTCTTAACCTTTAATAATATATTAAACATTAAGATCAACTCCAATGTATTTTTCTATTTTTTCCTCTAAAATATAAGTGGACTTATCTCCAACCTATTATTTTACAGAAAAAGAAAGATTATTAATTTTCCTCTATAATTGGAGGAAAATGTAACAACCCTTTTCCTCTAAATTAGAAGATTTATAATAAAGATGGGTTGGAGATGCTTCAAGCCAAAAATGTAGCCTGAGATTTTTACATAAAACCAAAGTCGTAAAGATTCATTTTTACTTTTACTTCTATTTTTTATATATATACAATATTGTAATAAAAATAGTTAGCCAAGAGGATACTTATAATTTATTTTTCTATCTGTTTATTTTTTTGTTTTATTTATAATTTCAAATTCTTGCTATATAATGAGAATTCATTCACATATGACATAAACTTTTTGTTTCTTATTTAAAAATAAAGATTTATTTAGTTTTAAATTAACGAATCAAAATATTTCGTTTATTTTAGGAAATTTGTTATGTCACATTTATGAAGTAGCATTGTTTTGCACTACATTTTCTTAAGGTGTTGACACATCAGTTTTTTTCATTAAACATGCTTGTCAAATAATATTAAGGATTATTTGAAACTTTCTTACTTTGTTTTCCATGTTATATCTTTTATATATCTTTTTTGTGAGACTGTTTTTGTCAAAAGATTCACAATGACAATTGCTAATTTTTTGGTAACTTCATATGCCCTTGAACCTCCGTACATTTCAGATTTTGTTATATTCATTTTTACTACGATGAAGTGTTTTGTTTAATTTCATTTTGCTTGAAGAGCAAATTTTCGTTTCTTTAGAGTGTCTTAGGAATTTCTATAGACAACACATTTGAATTGATTAATAAAGAGCTTCTTTTGAATGTTAAAATAAAATAAAAAAGAGCTTCCTTTGATTTAACAAGATAGAAGAAGTTTCTCACCGGCATAAATTGAATCAAGGGTTTGGACTTGTTATCGTTAGATGTACCAGATTAAGGAGGTTTCAGAGCGAAACCGGATCTTACATAAGCTTACATTGGGTCCACGATAAAGAAAACAGAGACTATATGGATCCACAATGGGGAAAAGATGGTTCGACGCAAGGTATATAGGTTACAAGCCTTCTCAAAAAATTTGAGGAAATTCTATTAAATAATTTTGAGGAAATTCTATCAAATGAATGGGAGCAGAGAGATCGTCAATGGATTTTGTCATAGTAAAGATTGATGCTGATAAAAATCTCATTTGATAACTTCTTAACAATACGAGTTTACTCAGCCACCAAATCCCAAATTTCCAGCAGTTATATACATGGTAGGCCTGAGCAATAAACTCGGACTCGAAAACTTGAACCAGAACTGACCCAAAATAACTAGTTTGGATCAGGTTCTGTTATAGCATATTTACTCTACGGGTATTAAGTTTAGGAGCCGTGTGTAGGGGTGGGCAAACAGGAATATGGGATAGGATTTTGCGGGAATGGGAACGGGACGGGAATATGGGAACCAAAATAATTGTCTCATATGTGTTTCATTCAAAATTTGGGACGGGACGGGAATGGCACGGGATAGGACGGGAATGGGACGGGAATTCCCAAAAAACCTAAAAACACGACAAATTGACAATTGTAAAAAAAAAAAAAACTCAATTTATATTCGTCTATTGTTCACCTCCTAAATCTTAATAAGTAATAATAACATGTCATATAAAATTATAAATTAACTAAGAAACAAATAATATCAAACTTAACTTAATTATTAAAATTTAAAAGCTTCAAGGTAGAAGTTGATACTTGTTTGTTTGTTAGGTTATAACTTATAAGTTAGAACTTTAGGGTGCAACTTTTAAGTTTTAACTTTCGTTTATATAAAATAATATATTAATAAATAATAATTATCATTTTTGATAATATATTTAAAATATTTAATTTATTATTTATATATAATTCGGGACAAATGAGACATCGGAAATTCCTACTTCTGTCCCATCTCGTCCCATTCCCAAATGGGAATCAATATGTTGTACCATATGGAAACACATTCCCATATGGTACGGGAATTTAGGATTGGACTGGGACGGGATGGGACGGGACGAGATGGGACGGGAATTGTGCCCACCCCTAGCCGTGTGTATTAGGTTGGTTCCAGTTTCTACCTGATACTTGATCTGTTAACCAAAAAAAACAAAAAAAATTTATGTACTTAGAATTTTGCAGAGCGATTTCCTGAAGAATCAGATGGACCCATAGGTTGATCTATATACAGTTTTGTAGGTCTCACAGTCAGCTATTCAGATCTTCTTTCCGTTATTGATTCCGAGATATATTCAATTCAAAAATCAGTTTGCAAGTTGACGAAAAAATCAGTATTCTAAAAAAATCAGTTTTTATCTAGGTATTTGGTTATATTTCGGATATATGTTTACATTTTCAGCGATCTCAAGTTTAATTGGGTAAAAAAAACTGAACCAAGCCAAAGTGATAAAAAATCGATTTTTTGGGTTTTAAACGGTTCTAAAACTTAAGAACCAAACCGATCTAGAATCGATAGAAATCGAACCGCACCCGAATATAAATCTTTTTTTTATATTTATATGGGTATAAAATTCTTTACCCGAAAGAACCAATACCAATCGAAGCCGACCCGGAACTGACCGGAATACCCGAATGCTCAGGCCTATATCCAACTACGACTCCTCTTGTACTTTCAGTTTACATCTCTACTGTCACGTACGCTTCCCGGCATTGAACAATGATGATGTTCCCAAGTCCCTTCGCTTTATTTTGGTTGGCCAATGTAATCTGTCCGTGTCTTTTATATGTTGTTTGTTTTCTGGAATTTGCTTTTTTCGAGAATGAACTAAAAATGACAAGATAAGATCATCGGATTGAGAGAGTCTGATTCAAAGATTTTACGAACACAAAACGAAAGCTGCGTGTCTGTTGTTTTCATTAGCTGAGAGGTTTGGTGAAAGTATTGGTGAACTCTATTTCTCTAACACTTTGGATAACATTACTGATGTTAATGGAGATATGATTGGAATGTTCTTTAGAACTATACCAAGCTGCTGCTGCAACCTAGCACAACGCATTCTCTCTCCGCTCCGTTCTGTGCTCAGATCCCGAATCTTTGCGTCTTTCTCGTCCGAAAAAGTACAAGATTTATTCAAAGCATATATAATTCATGACTTGAGAGCAAAACAGACCCGAGCTCTATGTTCTTGGCAAGTCATAATTCTGAATTGATAATGTTTAAAATCCTATAAAAGTAAAGTCTTTTCTTTTTTCAGTGTGTGAACGTACCGGTGTTTGGGAGACAGGGTCGGCCCATGCGGCAAGCAGGAGAAGCCAAGAATTAGGGCATCAAAAATTTTAGGAGTATCATTTTAAAGAATTTTCAAAATTAGAATTATTTATTAATATTTATATATATATAATTTTAAGTTAAAGTTTATTATAAATTATTTGTAATCTACTATTTCAAAAAAGATTGAATGGACTGACTTTATTATCAACTCAGACAATTATGCTTGGAAAACTATATATTATATGTATTTAATGAATAATTTTGTAAGAAAAATATAAAAAAGACTATTTTTCAATGATATATATATATATAAAAACTGTTTATAAATTTATTATGTTTATTTGAAATTGGATTTTTTCTTTTTATAATTTTTTAATTATAAGTTTTTGTGTTAAATACAATATATAAAAAATATATTTTAAATTTGAATAAAGCATCAAAAATTGTCGGACCAACAGGTTGGGAGACCTGAGAACTTACAACCTTCTCTTGTTATAGCCCGAGGTTTCCTGTTCTCGCTTCTCCGTGGTTTGAGTCTACGGAATCCTTCTTTGTTACACACGAGTCTACGCCACACCACGGTGCCATCTTGCATTGACCGCCTGATAAGTTTGGAGATCGAATCTCTCTCTCTCTCTCTCTTATCTTCACTCTCTATTGAATCAAAGAACAGAACGAGTATCAATGGAAGATATCGGATCACTCCAATGAGTTCTCAGATCAACTTCCCTCACGATCCAACGATCGCCTCAAGACCTACGTCTCCAATACACTTCAATTCTTCGATACCCCAGAACTAAAACAATCTTCTCGCTATATAAGCGACGAAATCATTCTCTCTTTCCAGCTCAGCACTTACTATCATGCTTATCACCGCCTGAAAGCATCCACTCGCATAACGAAACCGTCATAGAAAGTCTTTACAGCGACGTCTGAATCAAACTCCATACAAATGAACGGCTCTACCACTGAAGAAGCTTCATCTGTGACTGTATTCTTTCCATCTGAGTTCTCCATCATCTCTTCATCTTCTCCGCGTAAAGAGTTCCCTTCCACTGCCACACAACACACACAAACATCTCAATCCCAAATATATATATATATATATATGATTTTGCAACTTGATTCATTTAGAGAGACTCAACCTTGACCAAATGCCCAACCATTCAACCAAACCCTCGCTAACTGCTTCTCTAACAACAGCTCTAATCTGCTACATTTTTCAAAGCTTAGCAAATACACCATGGCTTGAAAGATGGCAGGTCCTCAAGAAGTGATTTATAAAAACAGCTTATCAAATTACCTAATGCGGGATATTCCACCGTGTTAGTGTTACACTTATTTGGAAATTTTTATTAAAATAATATATGATGTCAGCCCAAGTTGATCTTACACAAACGAAACTTAGCAAACTAATGAGAGAGAGAGAGAGCATTGGTTACTGACTCAAACGAATCACATTTCAAATAATTTACTATCCAAAATTTTGCTGAAAAACTCAAACGAAACTTAGCAAACTAATGAGAGAGAGAGAGAGCTTGTAACGGTCAACGCTATCTACAATCGCAATGCGGAGCCCGACTGTATTGATACGGGTCTAGAACTAGAAGATATGGGCCCGACTCTATGGTTTTTTCTTCTTCTGAAAGTTCAATGGTCAAAGTTTCCACTTCCTAAGACCAAACCAGCTTGCAAATTAGACCTAATAAAAACCTTTACTCATTCTCTCTTTTCTCCTAATTTTATTGACTCGTTTAACTTTGACCCAATACTGTTCCAAAATTTTATAAATATGACCAAGAAAAAACCAAAAAGAGAATCTTATAAACCCCAAAACTATAATTTCCCAGTCTAATAATTTAATCTTCATTTTTGGTTTACAAAAAGATGGGTTTTACTTTTACGTGGGGAATAAGACTCCGTGGAGCTAGCAAGAAAGAGTTAACTCCGGTCACGAGTTGGTCGGAATTGGAATCGGAGATAACGATTCCGCCGGAGTTTCAATGCCCAATCTCAATCGATCTCATGAAAGATCCGGTCATAATCTCCACAGGTATTACATACGATCGCGAAAGCATCGAGAAGTGGATCGACTCAGGAAACAACACGTGTCCGGTCACAAAAACGGTGTTGACCACGCTCGAGCAAATCCCGAACCACACGATTCGCAAGATGATTCAAGGATGGTGCGTGGAGATTGGATCGTCGTCGATTGAACGAATCCCGACGCCACGTGTCCCTTTGATGCCCCATGATGTTTATGAAATCTGTCGAAAATTATCCTCTGCGACGTAGGGATTACGAGAAATGTGAGGAGATTATCGAGAGAATTAAGAAACTGGAGAAAGAGAGTGAGAAAAATCGAAAGTGTATCAACGAAAACGGCGTCGCGTTAGTTCTCTGTGATTGTTTCGAGAAGTTCTCGGGAGACGAGAAATTGACGTATCTCTTGAAGGAGATTCTATCGCTGCTTACTTGGATGGTTCCGATTGGTTCAGAGGGTTTAAAGAAACTCGCGTTTGCGTCGTCATTTCGTTGCGTCGCGGGTTTGTTAAGGAGCACTGACGACTCCGTTCGCGAAAACGCTGCGTTTTTGTTGAAGGAGATTCTCTCGTTGGACGAGACGCAAGTTCTCGCGTTTGCGGAGGAAAACGGAGTCGCGGGATCGTTTGTGAAGTTGATTCGCGATTCGGTTTCGTCTAGCGCAACAAACTCTTCGTTGATAGCGATAAGTCATATGGTTTTCCAAAAGCCCGAGATCGCGTCTGAGTTTCTCGAAATAGATCTTATGAATTTAACACTGGATATGATAATTAATGGTGAGAACAGCGTTTGCGAGAAAGCGTTAGCGGTTTTAGACGCGATTTGCGAAACCAGTAGAGGGAGAGAGGAAGTGAGGAAAAACGCGTTGGTGATGCCGCTTTTAGTGAAGAAGATTCCGAAGGTTTCTGAGTTAGCGACGAGGAGCTCAGTTTCGGTAATTCTGAAGCTGTGTAAAACGGGAAAAGCGTTTGCGGTTGAGGAAGCAGTGCGTTTGGGAGCATTTCAGAAGGTGTTCTTGGTGTTACAGGTTGGGTATGGAGAAGAGACGAAAGAGAAAGCGACAGAGTTGTTAAAGATGATGAACAACACACAGATGAAATTGATGAGTGATGATGAAGATGATTGTGTTGATTCTTCAATGGACTTTAAGTACCTCAAGAAGCTATCTTGATGTTAGTTATGTATTGTACAGAGTAATTAAACCACGTTCTTTGCAAATCACAGATATGAAGAAGGCAACAAATACTGTTTTATGAACAGAGAGGCACATTTGCAAAAAAAATCAATTTAACATGCACACTTTAAATTTATAAGTAGTCTAGACGAGAAGTTGTTTTTTTAGTTTTAATGTTTAATAATTTTTTCTTGTGTCGTAAGCAAGAATCCATGTGTTTATGGTTTTATTCATCATTTAGTTGAATACAGTGACAAGTTTATCTTTCATAAAACGACAATTTAGAATTCAACTAAACCTTAGAAACATTGAACTAGAAATACTTGGGGACTAAGCCAATTTGTATGCGATTCTTGGTGACCAAGTCTCTTCTCATTAATATAAACCCCACTTCTCTTCTCTTTTCTTCTTCATCTCATCCACTTACCAAATATTTCTTTTTGCATCTCAAAATATTTCAAGATATCTTCAAATTAATGGTTCAAGTTAAATCCAATCGCTGTTCGCTTATTCCTCTTCTTGGCTATGTCATGGACGTTATCTTTCAACTATTTACGCCATCCAAAACATCCGATTCACGCAAAGAAGTTGTTGATACCGCAACGGCAGGAAATCTTACAGCTCAGAAACACTTCAGACAACAACATTGTATTAAGCTCTAACTATAAATATGTAAATAGTATCTCAGGTTTTGTAATAGAAAGAATCAATATATATCATTTGTGTCATTGTGTTAAAATGCTCTATAAGAACAACATAAACTGAAATGACATAAAGAATAAAAGATATGGGAGTTGGTTCCATCACTTAGAGTTTAATCAGTAGTATCACTGATCAAATACAGTTTTTGTCCATCACTGATCATATCAATGTCAGTGATACGACCTCCTTCCTCGGATAATATTACAAATGAGGCGAGATCATCCGATAGCCCGAGCTCTTTCGCAGCGGTCACTACGAGTTTCTGGAGATCGCTCGGGATCCAGATCACAACTCCGTGCTTGTTACGCTCATCTTTCGCCTCGTGCGGGTTGAATGGGAACACTGTGCATTTCCGTCTCTTAATTCCATCCTCTGTTTTGGTACACACACATCAAAGTTCAATGGTTACAAGATTCATCTTTTGAGTTGTATTAGTCTGAAGGAAAGTATTCGAGTACCTTGTGGTTCATGAGAGCTTGACGGGTGGATAGATGATTGATGGGGTTTTGCATCTTCAAGCAACTTAATCAGTTTCTTGTTTCCGCACATTAGGGCTTCATCAAGTGGAGAGTTTCCCCACCTGTAAAGACAAGATTTATGAAGTTGTTTTCTGTTTTCTTGGGAGGTTATGTAATCTCTTCAGACCCGTAATTAAATCATGTAATATAGTCTCGTTTCAAGCATCACGTGACCTCTTCTAGGTTTTAATTTTTAGTACTTTTCATGTTGAGCTATGACATTTAGCTGCATGAAGTTATTAAGAGTTAAAATTTAAACGATTAGAAGATATTTACCGGTCTTTAGCGACAACGCTAGCTCCAGCTTCAACCAGCATCTTAGCCATCAAGAATAAGCCTTCAGAAGCCGCTACATGAAGCGGTGTTCTATGATCATAATCCTCAGTGTTTGGGTTCATACCGCATGAAAGCAATCTCTTGAGAAAGTCAGAGTCACCTTTCACAACTGCCGTGCAAAGGAAGTTTCCTGAATCTTCTAGGTCAAATGAAGCTCCTTCTTGCACAAGCAAACCAATTACTCCGTCTTGCCCTGCTTTCACAGCCTCTAACAATGGCGTGGTCCCAAATTTATCTGCGCATATATATAATATTAAAAAAAAGCGTAAACATAAAACAAGGTAACCTTTCCCATTATATATATTCGGATATCGAGCCCCATTTACCTTTTAGATTGATATCAACACCTTCTTGAATAAGAAATAATGTAATGTCTTCATAGCCTCTAGATGCTGCAAGATGCTGCATTTGAAGAAGACAAATCACAATGTTAACAAAAGAATCGATTCAAGATCAGCAACAACAACAAAAAACAAACGTACAAGCGGTGATCTTCCATCGTAATCTGTTTTGTTAGGATCGGCTCCTGCGTGGATTAAGCTTTTAAGATGGTAGATGTCTCCTTGGAAAGCTGCACTATTTACTTTCAATGCAAGTTCTGCCTCTTGTTTCCCAATGTGAATCATAACATCAGATTCTAGTTTCTTTATCCTCTCATTCGATTCCTTCCCCTGTCGAGTTGCAAGATTTTCTCAATAATAATATATCATCGAGTGTTAAACCTTACGAGAACAAAAAAAAAAGACAAGAGTTTACTACCTCCATAAGGTTGTTCAAGATTTTGCGTCCGTCCTGAAAATAAATCTCGAGAATGTTCGAAAACGACTGTTTATCGAGGCGTAAAAGATGACATAGCTCACAAACCCTAACTGTGAAAGGTTGAGAGATGTTGCAAATGATGGAGATATCTCCAAAAGAAGTGTGAGGCCCAAGAAACGTCACACTCTCTTCTGATCCATCTGTTCTTGTAACAAGAGCCTCCTATAAAAAGCCACACAAAAATTTACAAAGAGACAAAGGCACAGAGACAAACTCAACGAGATTGTGTACTTACCAGTGAGCCTTCACAGACGAAATACAAATGATCCACGACATTTCCTTGCTCTGTGATTACTTCTCCTGGAAGAAAATACTCTTCATGGACCCTTATCACTATCTGATTGATAAACTCCGATGAGCAGTCTTTGAAGAGAGGGATTTTCTCAATGTAAGGCAAGTACAACAGCTGCGCAATCTGCAATGAAATACAAAAACCATTTATTGATCATTTATACTAGGAAAGCCCTTAAGCATGAGTTCTTCAAAATCACGAGTTCAAATTCTGATGATGGAAAAAAAAACTATTTTAAGCTGATTTAGTTTCTTCGTAATAAAGAAAAAAAAACAAAATTTTATTATTAGGGTACCTTGGCGCGTATTGAGGCAGGGATGTCTTGAAGCATGACAGTATCGGTGTAGTTACTGTCGTACTGCAATCTCACGTGACGCGTAATCTCGCTACGAATGTTTCTCCCGAGTTTCTTGCGGTTCATGAAACTTATGAGTTCATTCATTTTATCTCTAAACCTCTCTGTGTTTGATCCTTTCACAATCAATGCAGTAATGTTACCGATCAGGTACGCACCAAGAACCATATCGAATGAAACATATATCATTACGAATATCATCTCTCTCTGATTTACCGCATGTATGTCTCCATAACCTGAAAAAAACAAAAACCCATCAAATATGATAACTTACTAAAATGGGTCATCATCAAGTTTGATTTTTCTGTTTTCTTTTTTACCGACAGTAGCCATAGTGACAATGGCGAAGTAGAGAGACGTGATGTAACGTTTCCAAATATCGATTTTTCGGAAATTCTCGTAGCTATAGTCTCCTAGCTTTAGGCTACCGATCCAAGTGTAACCCTCGTTTTCTTGAGGAATAGTGGTTGCCAAGTAATAGAAGATGCAAGCAGCAGTGTGAGTACAGTAAACTTCAACGAAAACTAGCTTCAAGATTCTGGTGAAGAGATAGTTGATCCTTGTGTCTTTCTCAAGCCTTTGGAAGAACTCAATTACTTTGCGCACCCGAAACAGTCTTATCCACAGTATGTACCTAACCAGCTCGTGTTTCCCTGATGCCTGCAATAAAAAAATATTTCAATAACCTATGGGTAGGCGTATAAACAAGACCTAACCGAATCAGAACCAAAAGATTTAACCACAATGTGTTAGTTACCCAATTGGTTATCATTTCAAAACCGAAATCAAATTAGTGAAAGTGATTTTGTTTTTAAACCAAACATAATACTGTAAAGCAAAATTCATTTGAATCGCCTTTGTTTTTAAGAATGCATGAAATCACAAATTCACAATGATTAAGTAAAGTTAGTAAAACAGTTAATTTGTTTACTTTTTTGGTTACAAAAAAATGGTTTTATAACCTAATTAAAAGTCGAACCTAACCAAACAAAATTGCATAAAAAACCGAAACAAACCAAACAAATTACAAACGGTTTTTATTTGCTTTTAATTTCGTTAAACTCAATAAAAACAAACCAAAATCTAAAGAGAAAAGAAAACGAACAACAAAAATTTGAATCAAAACGAACCAAACCAAACCAATTACAAAACAATCAGTTTCTTCTCTAAATCCATTGAAACCAGATTAAAAAAACTGAACCAAAACCAAACCGTAAACGAGAATGTCCACATCGTAAACCGTAAACTAATTATAAAGGTTTTAAGAAGATACTTTTCTTGAAGATTTGAGTAAGGCTAGTTAGAAATCAAAAGATAATAATTATAATACCTTGTAGATCAGATCCCATGGAAAGCAACTGACAAAATCCAAGAAAAAATGCGACTTCAAGTACCTAAGAAACATGATTCAAAAGATAAGTATCCTCCGTTATAAGCTATAAGAACAAATGTAGAAATGCTCGTTAAGATCGATATTTATATAAACTAACCGGAGAGCAATATGTGTTGGTTTGTAGTCGGTCTTGTAGGTCTGGCCATCACGAAAGGCGACAAAAAATTGAATAACAATATCGACCAAAAATGCGATTTGACCAACGATGTCAAGTATAAAGAGATTCTCAGGCAGACCGCGGAAGAAACCAAACTCCATGGGAGTGAACAAAGATGAGTATATTGCCCAAACCAATATAAACGTTTCCCATACCTTGTACCACCTGTTCATTTTTTTCCCAACTTTTTATTAATTTCATGTATAATCAAAAAGTTTTTCTGAAAATGTATACTTCAAATCGTATAATGTAGCTAAACTTAATCGTGTGAGGGGAAGCCAAATGAAGATATAATAGTAAAATGTATGCAACAATGTTTTTTTTTTTTTATTTGTTAAGATCGAGGTAGCATCGCTGGATTAGTAGTTCGCATTACCAATTTGACAATTTTGTATTGGTTTAGAGCGGTAAACCATTTATATTGCTACGATTATAAAAAAAATACATTTGTTTTAATAGTTACCAATCACAAAAAAAAACAAAAACAATGAATAATATTAAAAGAATTTAATACCAACAAAAAAATATATATTAAAAGAATCCTCCCTTAAACTTAAACCCATAATTCCATAGTTAATAAAGATCCTCTTAAACCCTTAAATCAATAGGATTCAATACATTTGTTTTAATAGTTAACAAAGCTCCTCACTTAAACCCATAATTTCTATTGTTTATTTCGATAAATCAATAGGATTCAATACATTTGTTTTAATAGTTACCAATCACAAAAAAACAATAACAATTAATAATATTAAAAAAATATTTTACATACCTTTACTTTTTGCATTTTTAATTATATTTTTAATAATAATTCTTATACGGTTTACATTCTCTTTTCATGTTAAATATTGTATTACACATAAATTTTTAGTTTTTTTATTAGAAAGTTGGCATTTTTTATTAATTTATAATATTATTATTTTTAGTATTAAGTTTTTAAAAGAAACAGGTGGATGAGCATCCACGTGTGGCCTCTCGTTACGGCATCTTTCGCGGGACAAAATTAATAATGCGAGCTCCGATGATTTAGTTTCGTACGACAACAGGCAGTAGGCACAGTAAGACTTATCTCCAATGTACATTGCTATTTTTTCTCTTAAAATAAAGGATTTTTTTCTTATGTATTTTTCTTTTTTTTCCTTAAAAAAATTATTATTAGAATATTCTTTTCTAATTTATTAGTAATACTTTTGTCTCTAAAGTTCATAAATTAATCTTATTTATTTTATTTTCTTACAAAAACTTTAATGAAATTATAATAATATTAAAATTAAATATTGTTTATACAAAGAATATCATATTACATCATATAAAACATAATATATTTTAACTTATAAAGTTATCTAGAACTAAATTTGAAATGAAAAAGTTCATATTTAATTATATTATATACTTTCAAAATTTTATATTATATATTTAGTCATATTATATATTGGATAGATGATTATTCACTAAATATATAAAAATAAGTTATAAAAATAATTATTTAAATTTCTATAGTTCTTATGCAAATAAAAATAAAAAAAAATTTAAAAGTTAAAAGATTAATTTATAAATATAAAAGATAATTTCTATTATAGAAGAAGAAATAGAGTTCTTTCAAATATAAAGGAAAAAATAGCAATTTCTATTTTAGAGAAATAAATAGAGATGAATCTGAAAGAATTTTCTTCCAAACTCTATTTTTTCTCTAAAATAGAATTAGATTGAAAATGCTCTAAACCCAGTTACCAATATAACCTGATAAACCTTTTCTTCAGAATTACAAAAAATAATTGTATATATTTATAGGAGTGTGATACCCCAAGTTGGACAACTAGAAACCCCAAGTTGTCTAACGTAGGATTTCTGTTTAAAGAAAAATCGATACTGTCTAGAATTTGAATCAATTAAAAACTACCAATTGGCCGGCTTTAAAATAAATCAAATGATTTGATATAATATACTTATAAGGTGAAAGAAAAACACAAGATAAGAATATGAGGTGTCCCACCAAAAAAAAAAAAAAAAAAAAAAAATCGACAACAAAATCACTTAATTTGCATCAAATCACTACCGAATAAGATGCTAAAGATTAATCATGTAAGTAATTTTAAAAGAAAATCCTTAATCTTTCTGACTTGAAAACATAGAGGCAAATATTATGACGTGGTTTGGTGAAATAAAAGAAAATCCTTAAAAAAAAATTAATTATAAGAAAGAAAAAAGAGATATTTTCTAGATTTCAAGTAGATTTTTTCTTTTCTTCTACGTTTTTTTTTATCATCCAATAGAATCTCTATAAGTGCGTGAAATGACATTTAGAGAACAAAAAAATTACTAATTTAGATTTTTGGAGAGACGAGAGAACCTGTTCTTGGGATGGATGATGAATCGATGGTCGTTACGACCATCGGAATCAATTTTCCGATGCTCGGAAGAATCTAGCCACCGAAACGTCTCGGCCAAGCTGAATCTGTTTCCTCTCGATGAAACGTCGTCGTTTAGTTCCTCTTCCTCGTCTATACTCTCTTGCCGTCGCCGGAGACCCCCCATTTTTTTTTTCAACAATCGATCCAAATCTCCGGTGATATCTCAAAAACTCACTTCTCTATATATCGGAAAAGCAAAATCGAATCTCGAATCCGAAACCGGAAACTTCGATCCGATACCTCTTTTTTAGTTGATAATCTCGCAATGGCCTTTGTGGAAAAAAGGCGGGAAGATCACGAGAGCTTCTGCTTTTTTTTTTTTTTGCTGTGCTTTATTTTTTGTTTCGAGTCTTCTTCTTTCTCGTCACGATAAAGCTATGCGATTGATTTTGTCGGGAAGAGCCTTAGAGGAACTGAGGTTTTTTTGTTTTCTCGGCTTGGTCTCAAGTATATAAGTACAAACATAAAGTCTCGTCTAGAATATTGAATGTATATATAGGACATATCTGATAGAATACATTGATTTTTAACTAATAGTCTAATCTACAGTTATCCATCCCTAAGTATGTTGTTGTTCAAAAAACGTAAGTAGTAGTATTTTAGGTTTCAATTCCATAAATCAATAGGATTCAACCCCATTATGTATGTGGCACTAAATCATTATTGTCAAATCACTAAACCGTAATGTATGTGGAATGAAATTGTGGAATCTTCTTAACCCTTTAGTAAAAAAAAAAAAAAAGAGTCGAATATTACATAAATCGTTATACAAATAACCCCATTAATTTGCTTTAAAGATTATGCCATGTCGGCATGTCGTATTTGATGTATGTTAGAAATAGGTTTAGTATTTCATAAATACAGATCGGCTTTTGGTTTTCTACAATTTAACCCTTCACTTTATTTATTTTTGTAAAACTATCATTAACTTCCAAAAAATGCAAATCAACTTTTCTACCTTAAATCAGTTTTTTTTTTTATAATTTAAGGAATCTCAGGCCTATGGTGAGATTCCTTAAATTATGCGATGAGCTCAAACTAATTTTTGGAAAATGTGCATTCCATCGATAGATTCTTTTTTTGGATATTTAATAGATTGAAAACAAAGATCTATATTCATGTGGTCAAATGAGAATTGTTAATAATTCTAAATTTGATTCCATCTTAGATCATTTCCAATGTCTATTGCTATTTTTTTTTCTAAAATTAAAAAACTTTAAAATAGAAATGCATCAATCTCCAATGTATTCTTCTATTTTTTTTTCTAAAACAAATTATTCTATAATTATTCTATTTATAATTTGTTAATAACATATTTTACTAATAAAATTAATAAATTAACTCCACTTATTTTTAATTTTACAAAAATGTACAAAAAATTATAGAAATATTAAAATTAAACTTTTATTATACAAAAATATCACATTACATTATACAAAAATATACTAGGATTGTTCATAGAATTACCTCCAAGTTGAATTTGAAATGAAAAAAAAATATTTAATTATATTATATAATTCTAATATTTTATATTATATATTTAATCATATTATATGTTTGTGTTGGGTCCGATTTTACTACGTCCAAGAACGACATGACGCATGGAGACCGAACCATCCTAAACACTGACACAGCTTGCTAGTTCGGCCAACAACTCTCTTGCGTACTGTTCTCAGGCAGTTGGTCACCAACCCATTTGCTCCTCTGGCACGCCGAACACTCTGAACAGATGGGACATGACAGAGAAAACCTATATAACAGGAGGCCAAGGAGAAGAGAAAGGGGAGGGCGCGGAGAGACCCAGAGAGAGAGAGAAAGGGAGAACATAATCTTGAAAGAGATGCAGAGATCAAAGGAGAGACCACTAAGGGCTCGATCTAAGGATGGAGGATTCGACCCAATCCCGGAAAAGCCCCTCACTGCCATGCAGCATAGTCAAAAGGGAACGCTCTCATTCCCCAAGGTAATGCTAAATTGGATAAGTCTTTCTTTAACTTGGAACCCTGTCTTTATACTCGATGTCGTTCCTTTCATTATAGAGCCATCTGAAACACCTTCCAAATAGAGAGATGTCCTGATCTTCGGACGAGGCATCTAACGTTAAACCCATATAATAACCCTCCTGAGCATTTGTTTCTGGTAGGGCGTTCATTGACTTGGGCGTCGAAGAACCTTCGGGAGGGAAACCTCTTTTCGGGGCGGAAGCTTCCTGTAAACACTTTAGCAAACGTCTAACGAGCCTTCGGGAAAGACCGAAAGGGGGTTTTCCTTCCGAAGATTCTCCGACGCCCAAGTTAATAAACATCCTACCGGGAACAAGGGGGGGGGATCATCTATGGGTTAAGTGTGAGAAAGCTCGTCCGAGGATCGAGGCTCCTGTCTGGTATAGAGTGTTTCAAGAGGGGTTTCTATTTGTGAAAAGAGGGATGCGACAGATATAAAGGCGGGATTCCAAGTTGGGGATAACTTAACCTGGTCGACAGTCACCCGAGGGGATATGGGATCCACCCGTGATCCTGCTGCGTGGCCAAGAGTATTGCTCAGATGTCGGAAGGCGGGCCTCTCTGATTGGCCTCTTCTTTTCCTTAAAAGAGTTCTTCTTCTATTTATACTCGCCATCCCCTTGTCCTGTCCCCTCCAAGCCGCGTACCCGGGGAGCAGGTGGGAATAATCATTCTGGTGTGTTAGGGAAATCCCGCCAAACTGCCCCGGTACAGTACACGGGAGTGGGTCAGCCGAGCTAGCGTGGCGTGTGTCAGTAGTCGATGTAGCTTAGGCCTACGTGGCGAGTCCTCATTCGACCTGGTAAAATGGGTCCCAACAGTTGCCCCCGACTCCTCGGCTTATTCTTGGGTGAGTCGGGTAGTCGAACCTTCGTCAATTCCCTGCAAAACAAACATGGTTATCCGGTTCCCTAGATCTTGCGCTGCTTACGAGCTGGTCTGACGCGACGACCTTGCCGTGAACTGCAAAGGGTACAGTACTGGTCTGGACGAAGCTAGATTCTAAACCATAATGTGAGACTTAAGGACTCATCGAAGCCATGCTGCGCATCCCGGGGGAAGGCGGTTCTAGCTGGATGGCCTGGACTTCCAGAGAAGTTGGATAGAGTATCGACTCTGGCCTCGGCGTCTTCCACGACAGAAGGCACCCTCGGCCGAAGGAGCAGTCCGAAACAGACTTTCAACCCCGACCTTATTCGTTTGTTCCGGAGGAGCACGTTATTAGTCGAGGGAATTTTACTTCTGCGGAAGCGAGCTGTGGCACAGCTCTTAGTAGATGTCAACTTTGATCTTATTCGCATCCGAAGGAGTACGTTACTGATCGAAGGAATTACGTTTCCGGGGGAAACGGAGGATGGTTAGACTAGATACATATAGAGGGACTCGCCCAGTCTATGTTACGCATCCGGTGGAGTGCACCGTTCGGCCTGGGGAGTTTTAGAATGATAGGGTCCTATCCTGGCTGGGGCGTGCATCCGGGGGAGTATGACGCTTGCTCAGTGTAGGAGGAGGGATTTTACTTCTCGCTTCGTGAGGCACTAGACGAGAAGCCGTCTTACCCCGCTCATCGGGGTCATGAGTGGGGTTATAGTCATGTACAATCGTGGGAATCGGCACAAGTCAACAACACGGGCTAAGACACCGGCCCAAGGACCAGAGGTGGTGCCGTTGGACGGATGAATAGATGTTCCCTGCGTCATGGGTCGCTAACGCAGGGAGGAGTCGCTACTCAAATGCAGCTGGTGCAGAGTAGAGCGTTTCCCGAGGGCGTTACCTCGACTCCCTTACTGCATGGATAGTCTTTGCATTGTGCTTACGTGAAAGTTGGTGGGTTTTGAGAACGTGCTTGTGACGTACCCCGAAGGAGAAGAGGTCGGGAAGTTGTCAGGAAGAGAAAGCCTGCGAGTAGGCGACCTCAATTCATGTTGTGTCTGAGTGGCAAGCGTGTTCTAGTGAGGAGCACCCTGATTTTCCGCACGGCCCTTTGGTGGGAACTGGCAGAGAAGACTCAGAGGTCTGAGAGGCCTGAGCCCTAGGATCCCGAGGGGGTCATGCCCGGGGGGGGGGGGGGGGGAAGTCCGCAGGAGAGCATACTCAGGGTGTGTGCGGTCCGCGGAGGAGCTGGCACGGGGCGAGCCACGAGGGCTTGCTAGACCGAAGCCTTGGATTCCTTTAAGAATGGTGTCCCGAAGGACGGACGAGTCCGCGGGGAGCTTGCCAAGAAAAGGGGATTCAAGGGAGATATGAAAACTACTGTGGGGAAGGATTATTCGCGCGAGCGGGAGATCGAGGGATCGAGTAAGCAGGAGATCGAGCAAGAAATCAAGCAATCAGGCAAGCGAGAAATCAAGCAATCAGGCAAACAAGAAATCATGCAACCAGGCAAGCAAGAAATCAAGCAATCAGGCAAGCAAGAAATCAAGCAATCAGGCAAGCAAGAAATCAAGCAGCTGGCGTCTCGCTAGGGGCGGTCGCATTCCAGCCGCAGTCATGGGTGCTGTAAAACCCATCGCAGAGTCTGTGCGACCCAGACGGTTACATCCGACCCACAGGTGTGGTCATGCCCCCGCCCCGGGGATAACCTCTTCCGGGCGGCATCCTTGCGGATATCCTGTAAAGGCACGAAGCTCATATCGTTGCGACCGTTCGTCAATTGATCTTCAGAAGACCTTTGGCAAGGTTAGTGACTTCTTTTCGGATGATCATGCACAAATCTACGATGTTCGGCGAGTGCGATCTACGTGGCGAGCCCCTGGTGGTTTCGGAATGCAGCGCGTCACCTCATGCAGTGTGCGCCGCTCCCCCGAGGACCGCCGATCATCTTTTCTGCTGTGGCCTGTTCCTTTTCTCTCTCTTTGCATTAAATGAGCGTCACTTCCCACGCACAGCTCGAGAGACTAATCATTTCTTACGGACTTTTGGCTTTCCCGACCGACGCGATTCCTCTCGCGTGCCTCTTTGGTTTCTTCTTCCTTTATAAAATCGAGAAACTCACAGTTCCGCTGATTTATTCTATTTTTGGAGAAAATCTCATAACTTTCCTTCTTCGAATTGCTTCTTCCTTCTTTTATTACGCACCTTTCTTTTCGCTCAATCTAAGATATCCGCTTCTAGTTCTTCG